TTGAAGATGTGTGGACTTCAACTCCCAGAATTCTGGGAGTTGAAGTCCACACATCTTCAAACCACCAAGCTTGAGAAACACCGATGTAGACTGTCCTATTTTCCTCTCTCTTTGGCTTTTGCAACATATTGTGAATTACTCCCAGGTTGTTCATCCCTCACTGTGTGAGGGAGGACTCTCACAAGGGCCTTGGATCCTCCTTGATTCCAGTGGGTGCAGAGAATATTACCTTTGCAGAATTTCCCTAGAGTGGAATTCATCCCACTGGTGCCTCTCACCCTTGGGACGAAGGGCTGACTAAGTGCAAGCTTTGATAGCCAGTGGGCACCTCTCCACCCCCCTCACCAATGCTGCAAATTCCTCTGCAGCTGCCAACCGAACCTTAATGAAAGCCCAATTTGAATGTACAGGTGGCCCCATCGTACAGGTCTCTCTGTTTTCCACCCGGAGATACTTTTGAAAAATTCCCTCTGTGTATTTTGAAGTAATACATCACAGATGGTGCCACGTGACCGACTGAATCCTTGAGCCTGTGTGGAAAGGCAGGCATAATCCATACTTTGGCAGAGCAATTTATTCTACCTGACCACCCTCCAGTTAATCCTTCATCCTAAGTATTTGCCCCCTGGTTGGTGGATTCAAGTAGCCAAAATCAGTTTCTGTGTTGTGATAGTATACTTCCCCCCCTTCTCCTTGTTGAGCAGCATCTGAAATAGTCTGGGAACCCTGATGAACCACCCACAACTTTGTATTCGATCCGGAACCCTGCGTGCTTCACCTGATGTAACGGTTGTGGATGGGGCTAGATAAATGCACTAATATCCTAGGTATCCCACGATGCAAGTTCCAGTTACTTGTATAAAGCTGCAGTGTAACATAATAAAGAACCCACAAAGACCTTTCACATACTCTGTACTTGAGATTTGCTTTGACTATGGATAAAAGTGATGTTTTATGTTTATCATCTAATGACTGTAAACTGTAGTAATAGAATAAAAAAATGGAAAAGAGAAGCTCCTTCTGCCTGGTTCACCTCACCCATTTTGGTCTTTCTTTAGATTCGTTTCTGTCCCTGCCCTTCTTCTCGTTCCCACACTTATCCCTCCATCTCCCATTAAGCTTTTTGTTTTTATTTGTTTATTGTTTCAACTCAGTCTTCCTCCCCACCATGGCTTTTGTTTTTTATCACAAGTTCATGTGGCTCATACCCAGATTGCAGCAGTCTGAACGGGAACGCCAATCTCTGGAGGAGGACAATCGTCTCTTCAAGCAGGAGTTTGGCGAGAAGATCAACAGTCTTCAGGTGGAGGTGGAGCAACTTACCAAGCAGCGGTGAAGAGAGAACTGTTTCCCTTCCCCTGGGTATCTTTAGTGGGTGGGCTTTTTTCAGCTGGATGTATCGTTTAGATATTTTGCTGAATTCCTCACATGCTTTTGTGTGCATTTTCCCATCTGAGAGAGGAAGTGATTTTCTGAGGGTTCCAAAATGTGCTTTCTAATTTATGAGAGACTGTATGCGCCTGCACCAGGCAAGGGACTGTGGTTTTTGCAAGTAATCTCCACCTTTGCGGCTGGTTTTCCTGGTCACCCATTGGTTGCTATGGCCCACTTTAAAAGAAGGGCAGTAGATGAACCCATTAACCACTGTTTACATAACTAAGTGCCTGAGTCTTCAGTGCGTGTGTCCATCCTTCCATCCATCCTTCCATCCATTCATCTTACCCTTTAGTTAAATGATGTTGATCCTCTGTTCATGGGCATCAAATGCATGCTTGGACCCTGAATAGCTAAATGTAGATGAGCATAGTTTCTTTACACATCAGAGAGTTATGACCAGGCGTGGTACACATACATAATTTACTCATGTTTTTGTGTGTCCATGTTGAACATACCACTGTTTGATGCAGTCAGCAAAGATGGGGAATGTAGGAGGGATCATCAGAGAAGGACAAGGCACTTGAATATCTAAAGCAGTTTTTCTCAACCTTGGCAGCTGGAAGATGTGTGGACTTCAACTCCCAGAATTCCCCAGCTAGCATACTGGGGAATTCCCCAGCCAGCCAGCGTACTGTTATTACAGAATTCTGCAGTTTCATAGTTAATTTCTGCCATGGATTTATTTTATGGCTGGCTGGGGAATTCTGGGAGTTGAAGTACACACGTCTTCCAGCTGCCAAGGTTGAGAAACACTGATCTAAAGGGCTGATACTGGAAACGAATTAAGCATGCACGTCACACTTTCTGGGTGCATTTACTTCTCATAAAAAGTGACCCTGCACGGTTCAAAGTAATATTTTTTTTAAATGCTTTACTTGTCCAAGGCCTTTATAAATTGAATATCATAGCACAATGCTGTTTGATAGTTTACTATGCAAATTAAGAACAATAAATATAATTAAACTAAAATAACTGAAATAATAAAGTTAAACTGAAATTTTCTACAGTGGTGCACTGCGGGGGATGCCGTAAAATAAATCTGTGGCAGAAGTTAAATATGAAACTGCAGAATTCTATAATTATAGTCCTTCATCTATCTTTCTACCTGGCAGTGAACCCCAATGAATTCAGTGGAGTTTATTCTCAAGTATATGTAGGATTTCTGTCTAAGACAATTAATGTAACAGTATTCTGGGAAGGATGGGAGGAGAATAGGTCAGAGCTGAATCATGGTCAACCCATAGGCCACACATGGCCTTCCAGAGCTCCTTGGGTTTTTGCATTTGGGGGGTTGGAGCCCTTAAGCTTTAAAACGGCCCCCCAAAACAGGCAGAAATGTGGTGAATTTTTTACCAGATACCTGCATCTTGGGTTAAGGATCATGATTACTTTAACAAGTCACTTCCTTAAAGCAGCCTCATCTACGTTTTTAGGCTGGCCTGGAAGCCTGAAAAAAAGACATACAGGCATTAACTGATAGCAGAGAGGTGCTATGAGAGCCAACGCACCACAAAATTATTTTCAAAATTTAGTGATTTTGTATTGGCGTTGTTCAATTACTCATTTACTGTTGTTCAAGTCAAAGTTGCCATTTTTAAAAGGATAGTTCCAAAGGGAAAGGTTGGGAACCAGTTCACTTTTTTCCAGGTGTGTGTTATATTTCAACCTATTTTCTCCTCCTGTTGTTACTTCAGAGGCCAGCTTGAACTGGAACTGAGACGGGAACGGGAACGGTGGTTGCATTTACCTTATGGGATTCCAGATAACAAAAGCTTGTTCAGCCCTAACAGAGGCATTCAGAAGACAGGATCAAAGATAGTAATGCTTCTTTTTTGTTGCTCTATACATAACTGGCTTAATGTTACTTCCTTTTGAAACCAGGTGCTTAGCATAGTGTTTATTGATTGTGGCTGGGACTCATGCTCCTGTCAGTCATATTGAAATATCCTGTAACGGGGATCTGCAGGGTGGGGTGTCAAAAAAGTCAAGGTGGTAACCATATCCATGTGGTTGAAGCCCTGCTCCTTTTTTACAAGCATCACACAAAGGACACTTAAAACAGGGATGGGGTTTTGATCTATCCCAAACCATTCAATCAGATCTCAAAAACCAATTGTAACCATTGCAACTGATGCAGAATTGTAGCACCTGAAGTTTTCAGAATCATTAGCAGGCTTGTATTGATTGATAAGGGATTTTTCTAAGCATCAGTCTTCGCAAAGATTCTTACATCAGTCTGATTAGTGGCTGTCTTCAGAGTTTAGAGGTGTTGGACCTAAAAGTACTCAGCGGGTAGCAGCACCCGACTGACCTTGTTAAACTTGGGAGCTAAGCAAAGTTAAGTCTACTCTGGTGGGTACTTGTATGGGAGACCACCAGAGAATTCCAGGATTGTAGGCTAGATTGGCAATCAAAAAGACAACCCACTTCAGTATTGTTACCAAGAAAATGTCATGTTCATTAATAACGGCAACGGGGACTGCCCAGATTGCCATCACTAAGCAATGCAGTCATGTGACATTGCGCTTTATGACTATATCACTTAGCAATGGAAATTCCGGTTCCAATTACCGTTGTTAAGTGAGGACTACTTGTATGCTGTGTTAGATACCCCCATATCATGGAGGGTAATGCGTAGGCAGACAATTCTGATGATTCACTTGTCATTCTGATCCTTTAATTGACCTCTGACCTAGTAGTGACAGGTGGCTCCATTATTCTCAACAGGAAGCAGCACTGTTATGGAAAGGTAGGGAACTTGGTTTGGTTTTGGTGGCAGATTCAAAATAAAGAGTCTGCCTTGGGGTATTTTGCTTTGATTGTTCGATACATTACTTGCTTTAATAGGATTCAAGCAACACACACCTTGAAGGAGATTCCCAACGGAGAGCATCAGTGAAAGAAAATGCAGTTCTTCCAAGCAGGTATGGACTAAATGCAAGAATCACAATCTTTGACTTCTCTTAAACAAATGGAATGATGGTACCTATAATTCATAGGTCAGTTTGGAAGCCTTCTTGTGATTCCTTGTATATGTGTGTGTGTGTATGAAACCCTATCTCATGTTTGCTGCAGAACATTCTTAGTGTATCATCCCAATTTAAATAGGTTCCATTAAGACCATGGTTCCCTGCTACTATTTAGCGATGCTCTAGATATGGGAAGTGAGTTTGGCATATAATTGCTTTCAGACACAATAAGTATACAGATTTTTGTACGGCCAAGCTCAGCGTGCTAAATTTCCCCAAATCTCCCCA